GAGTTTATTGTGCAAAATGGCTTTCCCAGTCATTGAATTTTACTTTGCGCCCTGTGGATGGATGGGAATATGTGAATAGTATATGTTAGCCTATCCACAAGGGGGCTGGCTAGTTTCACCATTCTACAAGAGGATTGGCTAGTCTCATCAGTCTACAGGGAGATTGGCTAGTCTCACCATTAAATTGTGCCAATCCAGCAGCAGAATGGGAGAAATCTCACCACCTGAAAAGAGAATGCAACTCATCCTTCAGAACCAGAGCATCAGCCAGAGCAGCTGGAACAGAGGCCCAGAGGCCCAGCAGGAGATGGAACTGACCTTGGGACTGCTACCCTCATAGAACCAGAGCTAAGAGCCCAAGGCCAAGTTTATTGGACAACTTGAGGACTAGGGCAAGGGAGGTATGTGGAGAGCCAATATTGGCAGGACCAAAAACTTTGTAACACTAGCATAAAGCCACGAGGCTCAAGGCTCAGGTGACTACAAGCATATTTCAGAAGCTGTTGTGACTCATAGTATTCTGTTTTTAACCTGGGTTATAACCTTTCGATTTCCCCAGGATGGTTCTCACAGACCCAGTGTGGTCTGTGAGCTATGGCATCAGATTTTGGACCCAATAAATCAGTGAGATTGGTGTTGAGATGAGTAGAAAGAGGAAGCATGTCTGACCTCTTGGGAACTGGTTTTGTGTGTTGCTGCTGTTCCCCTTTGTAAAGTTGGTTAAGGTCAGCTCTGGCCATCCCCCGAGGCCCTTGCTCTTTTTCCAGCAGCCTGTTGTTTGTGAGGCCTGCTGGTTCTAACAAGCCAGCTCTGCCTTGAAGACCAGCAGGGGCCAGTGAAAGAATGGAGGGGGAGAAGGGAGATAGCTGATCTCCCTTCTTCCTGCACAGGTCATTTTTGCAGTGAAGAAGGCTCTAGGGGGATAAGCCCAAGGCTTGTGAATTCTTAGGCTGGGGCCTAGGTAGGAGCCGGTGGGCTTGAACTTAGCCATGGAATTTATCCTTCCAAATAGATAGTTGTACACATCTGGCCAGGTTTGAGGCTGAGAGCTTTGCTGATCTATTTTCAGTTGCATTTGCTATAGACTTGATTCTAATGCATGGGGCCTCCATGTGTGTGACAGAGTAGAAGTGTGCTCCAATGGTTTTTCAATGACTGATTTTTTTCAGAAGTAGCTCACCAGGCCTTTCTTCTGAGGTGATTTTGGGTGGTCTTGAACCTCAAGTCTTTCAGTGAGCAGCCCTGTGTGTTAACTGTTGCATCACCCAGGGCCCAGCCCAGGATATGAGCCCCATTTCTCCCCACCAGGCAAGCAGAGGCTGAAGGCTGAATGTATTTCTCCACCCTGCTTGAAGGCTGGGGCTCCTTGAATTGGAATTTGTTTAGGGTAGTGGATCAGTTCAGCGATAAGGAGATAGAGGGTCAGCGAGTTTGTGACGTTTCTAAGGTTACAGCGACAATATCTGATGCTGAGATCGATCATAGGCTGATCTCGGCCATCCTGGGAGCTGAGGGAGGCCTGGGGACCTGACCAAGCCCACATTGCCCTGTGATGATTTGGAGACAACAAGACATTGCCACTTGTTCTCGTTGTGTGCCGTCAAGTTGGAACTGACCCACAGCTGGGTTTTCAGAGTCAGTTAATAGCATGGGAGGGGGATTGCTCATCCTCCTGTGGAGGAGCTAGTGGATTTGAACCATGTACCTTTGGAATCACAGCACGCTAGGCCACCAGATCTCCCAAGGTCATTTATTCTGAGTAATACCCCACATGAGATGCCACTCGCTGGCCAGCTCATGAGGCTCGTCACCTGCCTGTGACTGAGCAGGGCCCAGGCGTTTGGGGGCTGTGGAGAGAGGAGGAAGCCCAGGCTCTCAGCTCAGTGGCTGAGAGTGAGGGGCCATTCTAGTGCCAGGCCTGCCTCACTCCCCAAAACAAACCTGTCAGCACTTGTCAGTTAAGGCAAGGCCAGAGTTCCTTTTCTGTTTGCTTTCAGCCTTTAAAGAACAAATGTGCCCAAGCAAGCGTCTCTCCTGTGGGACACTTCTGATAGAAGTGAATGGCACAAAGGTGCAGGACCTCAGAGATCCGGACAGGTCTGACTCTCTCACCCTGGCTCGTGCTGTAATTGTCCACACTGCAGCGGCCTGTCCCGCCACTGCAGGGGAGAGGGCCTGGGAGGACCCTTTGCTCTGAGGGGTCCTTTAGAAGTTTGGGTTCAGGTGAGCTGCTGTCCAGGTTCCCCAGGTGTTTCGGACCGGATAGGGGTCTTCGGAGCAGACTTTCTTGTAATCTGTGAGCTTCTCCATGAGTCTTAGAAGCAAGCTGGTGAATTTCTGTCTTCTATACTTCGGACATGCTGTCGGGAGGGGCTAGTCCTTAAAAAGGAGCAACAGGCTTAGTAGAAGGTCCGTGAACAAGAAGGCTCCCAACGAGGTGGGTTAGCTCAATGACTGCACCAGTGGGTCAAGCCCAGCAGAGATTGTGGGGTGGTGCAGCATCGCCTGGGGCTTCATTCTGTTCCCCACACATGTGTATGTTGGGGCTGACTTGATGGCACCTAACAACAAGATAGAAAAATTAGTAAAACTATTCTCATGATGATTCTTCCTCTGTTGTTATTAGCTGCTGGCTAGTGGCTTGATCATAGTGGCTCTTATGACAGGGTCGAACAGCCCCACAGGGATTCGTGGGCTGTAAACTTTATGCTGGAGGGTCAGCTATGAGCCCCTTTTGACTCCCTGGCAAAGACTGCATTTTTGAGTCTTTACAGAAGCAGATCTCTGGGTCTTTGTCCTGTGGGGTTACTGAACAGGATCAAGCTACCAAACGCTAGCCGCCGAGTGCTTGACCATTGAGCCACCAGGGCTCCTTACTCTTCCTCTTGTGGCCTCCGGTTTCCCCGCTGCTAACACAGAAGTGAACTCTTTCTGTGAAGGAGTCTGTTCTAAAGATGACATGCTCCTGCAGACAACCTGAGTGTCTTTGCAGCGCCCCAAGTATCCATGGTGCAGGTGTCTGGCTGGGAATGCGCTGGGCCGCCACTTAGCCAGACCACCTTGGGTAAGGTTTCTGACCCCCTAGCCTGGATTCAGTCTATACAGTAGGGTTAGATGGGGATGACAGGCTGTAAGGACCCCTCTGCTGCATGGGAACATGGGTCTGGGTGCCACAGACCAGCCTGAGACTTCTTAATAAAACAAGAGCAATGACAGTATTAACATCCACTAATGACCCGCAGTGCTTTGTGGTCGTGTTTTCAAATTGTCGCAAGGCCACAGCTTTAGGTTGGCACTGATTGGCTGGAATTCCATCGCCGCTCGAGCCAGTGAGGGCAGCTCACAGACTCCTTGGTTCCCCTTTGTTTCTTTATTGAACTCACACTTTAGTGGCTCATCACACACACACCTTGTGAAGTTTTTGTAGTCAACTGCATAGGTGTCTAGTGCCTGGTGCACAGTAAACAGCAATAAATGAGAACTTAGAGGGATTTTGGGGAGCTCTGGTGGTGGAGTCTGTTGGGAGTTGCACTGGTAACCCAAAGTCACTGCCCCTCTAGCAGTTCAAATCCACCAGACACTTCCTCAGGAGAAAGATGGGCAGTCTCTTCTTGTGCAATGTCCTGTCTGGGAAACTTGTTGGTGGACCAGCCAGGGTCAGTTCTGATTTGGCACAGCGAGTTGAGACAGGCTGTGGGAGATTTTCGTGACTGTGGCAGCATCATTGAGAGGTGTGACTCTGACATGAGAGACTTGGAGGTCCTGGTGACCCAGGGAGGGGCAGCCAAGGTGTGCAGCAAGGTCTGTGGGCTTTGTGCCTGAGCTCTGAGGCCCGCTGCTCCTGCCTCAGACAGGCTGAGGCCTGGGCCCTCCAGGTAAATCCAGGCATCTAAGGGTGATGGAGGGACAGCAAAAACAAGGAAGACCTTAGCCAAGTGGTGTAGTCAGTGACCGCAGCAATGGGCTCAGGTGTGTCAGAGATAGGATGGGACAGGGCTCAGGTGTGTTGTTTATAGAGTCGCTATGAGTTGTACCTGATGGCTTCTAACACCACCACCACCACCACCACCACCACAGTGATGTGGAGGGGAGGGTCTGTGTGGGAAGTGGAGATGCTGCTGCCCTGGGGCCCAGCCCGGCAGGTGAGGTGAAGCTGCCTGAGTGCATGTCAGGGAGGAGCTTGGTCGATTGTCCCTTGTTCTTCTTAAGACTCTGTAAAGAGTGCCCCACCCAGCAGGACCATCCTGTCTATGGGAGTTGTGTTGCAGGCTCTCCCTAGGCAAGCATGAACTGAGAGGTGTTTGGTGGGTAGAGGGTGAGGAAGGGACATCTTAGCCCTGAGGCCTCTGTGTGGAAATAGTTGTGACAGTGAGGGAACCCCCATCCCATGCTCCTGTACTAATGGTTTTGGGGCCCTGTGTCTTTCTCCAAAGTACTATGGATGAGGGCTAGTACCCCAAGAATTCAGAAACCCAGCAAGAGTGGGCTTTTGACCAAGCTGGTAAGTGAGGTATTGAGAGCAGTGCTCAGAGGAAGTTTGCTACAGTCCTGTGCAGGTGCAGGCAGGATCCACCCTCCCTTTTTGACATACCAGGTGGCTGCTTGGGAGTCACCCAGCCTCTGGGAGCCCCCAGTCTCTGCCCTACCTGAGGTCTGTGGCAATCAGTGCTGTGAGCTGGTGGGGCACGCTGCCCAACCTGGCGCCCCCTGAACTCCAGGACTCCCAGAGTTAGCACCTCCCCCAGCCCAGCTGGGATTGAACCCCAGCTGAAGTGATGTCAGTCCTGGAGGAGACTGGAGAAGGACAGAGAGGGGGACATGGCCGAGCTCTCCCAGTTGCCCGCTGTCCCCAGAGGCGGTCAGCATGGCCATGGAGAAAGGAACTGGTTTCTGCTTTGTCCACACTCTATCCTCAGGACCCTGGACAGTCTCTGGTCCCCCTTGGGGACTTAGAAAAGCCTTATTGAGTGAGTGAGTGCTTGACCTGGCCTTCCTTTCAGGTCCAGCTGGGAGCTCCCAGATCTGCAGGAGGGCAAGATCGAGGCCATCAGTGACTCTGACGGGGTCAACTACCCCTGGTACGGCAACACCACGGAGACGTGCACCATCGTGGGCCCCACCAAGAGAGACTCCAAGTTCATCATCAGCATGAATGACAACTTCTACCCCAGCGTCACGTGGGCCGTGCCGGTCAGCGAGAGCAATGTGGCCAAACTGACCAACATCTACCGGGACCAGAGCTTCACCACGTGGCTGGTGGCCACCAACACCTCGACCAATGACATGATCATCCTGCAAACGCTGCACTGGCGGATGCAGCTCAGCATCGAGGTGAACCCCAACCGGCCCCTGGGCCAGCGGGCCCGGCTACGCGAGCCCATTGCCCAAGACCAGCCCAAAATCCTGAGCAAAAACGAACCCATCCCTCCCAGCGCCCTGGTCAAGCCCAACGCCAATGACGCCCAGGTCCTCATGTGGAGGCCCAAGTACGGGCCACCACTGGTGGTGATCCCCCCCAAGCACCGGTAACAGCCCAGGCGCCCACTAGGTCAGACTCCCAAATAATAATACTGGTCAGAATGAACCCAAATGCACTGTCATTCAGCAAAATACAGCCATTCTACCTTTGCCACAGACGGACCTCACTGTGCTCTTGTCCAGGACGGCCTCCCCTGGTCCCCACCAAGCCCATTGCCTTGTGGGGAGACGGGGAGACCTGAATGGGACAGACAAGCCCATGTACACCCCTCAGCACCCCCCTCAGCCTTCTTCCCGCTCCTTTTCTCACAGTTTTCATTCACTTGCGACAGATTCCCGGAAATAACAGCTTTTCCAGTTCTTTTTTTCTTTTTTTTCTTTTTGACTCCTCTTTATGAGGGTCAGGGCAGGAGGAGGAGGAGCCGACGATGCAGGAAGCCAAAGCTGTGGACTTATTAGCCTTCCTTTGGGGCTTTCCAGGCACAGGGTCTCCCTATTTCGGCTCCCCCTCGTCCTCCGTCATGCGGCCTTATGTAGACTTGCTTTGCCAAACTTTTGCCTTAAGCTGAATTTAAAGGGAAAACCAAAATGGGACAAGAAAGCAGGATCTCCTTTCCTTGGGACGTTCTGTATGTGGAGGGGGTTGCTGGGTCTCAAGAGGCTCTCCTCTCTCGAGAGGGTCTCTTGAGAGGGACCCCTTCCTGGTTGCACTGGGAGAGGGACCAGGGTGGAGGTGTAGACCTAAAACCAGCTGCTCATTCTCGTGTTTCAGCCAGCACCGAACCCCACACAGGCCCTGTCCCGAGAGGCACCTTCTTCCTCCCCGCAGAAGAGCCCCTCCATCTGGTACCTGTAAGCTCCCCGAGTTCTACCTGGGGGCCCCTTCTTTCCCATCTCCTTGGCAGCCTTAACCTGTTTTGATGGGTCTATGAAGAAGAAGACGGCCCCAGGAAGTAGAGGTTGAATCCAGGGAATGACACCGTCTCGGGTCCCATGGTGCCTACTGAGGCCCGTGGGACCTTCTCACAGTGTGGGGCTGCCCATTCCACTGAATTGTCCCAAATGCCTACAAGGCCTGGCCCCTGACCGACAAGACACAAACCCGTTAGTCATGAAGGTAGGGAAGGCGTGCACGTCCCATCTGGCAGCTGAGTTGTCAGACTTGAACCTGGAGACCCAGGCCTTTCACGAACGGATGGCAGAGAAGGGAAGCGAGAGGGCTTTCAGGAGGGGACTGTCCTATGGGGATGTGGACAGGCCCTATGATGGGCGTGGTGGAGGCAGCTCCAGGCCATAGGTGGTTGTGGAGCTGGGAAGCCATCAACAGAATGCCCTGCTAACCCCCAGGCTGGGAGGGTGAGGGGTCACAGCAAGGAAGTGTCAGAGCCACTCAGAAGGCTGGACCCATCCAGGGGTGTCTTGGAACGACTGACCAGGTGGCTAGTCCTTGAGGTCCACCCTCCCTCACCTTGTGGACCCTCTGGATCCCTGGGACTCAGCCCTGAGCAATGCCAAGGTTTTATAATAATATCTGGAGCTATTTTAGGACACCCTGCTGAAGCCACATTACTGCAAGCTTGCCAAAATCTGTAACTACATCGCCTGGGTCCCATGTTCAAACCAATAATAATTAAGCACAGAAATCCATCAGGTAGGAAACAGAATCCATGTCTGCTGCATATGAGCCACTTGTGTGTGTTTCAGTGACAACCTGGGAAGGTGCAGGTCACCTACATCCTTGCTCGATTCCATCAGCCACGTGATACTATATTTATTCAAGGGGTGCTTAACGTCCACTCGGTCTCCCGAGCCAAGCTCAGGCCAGGAGGCTCATAGGAATGATCCAGGAATGAACTGGAGACACTGGAAATGGCCAGGGTGCACCATGGGCATGGTGCTTGGGGACCCCCGTGTTGTGACTGGGCCCAACCCTGGGAACTACTGTTTTCCTTTTGTGTGTTTGGAGCTCAGGCTGAACCTAGCTACAGCTCCAGAGAGGCTGCAGCCTGGTGTGGAGGGAAGGTAGGGTCCCCAGATGCACCCCTGAGGATGGCTGGGGTATGGAGGATGATGTGACAGTGTCGCCGGGGATGGACGTGGTCTCTAACTGGAACAGCCCTTCTCTACTCAGGTCTTTCTTGCACTAAAGAGGAGAAAGGGCCCCAGGCAAGGGGCCCACAAACCAGGGTTCTGACTCCGGGTGGAGTCATTGCTAAGGCATTCTTACTGGGGTGGAGGTTGGGAAAGCACTGTGGGGTGTCCTGAGCTGTCTAAGGGTCCCCCAGCCTGCAGGCAGCGAGCCCTTTTGGAGCTGCCTCTGCTGCTGCCCTGCACTCCCCTGCATGCCTGACCCAGCTCACCCTGGCTCCCCAACACCCTGCTCCCTTTTCTCTTCACCCTTCCTGCCTCTTGGAAGACGTCGCTGGGAAGGCGCTGCAGGTCTGGCCATAGGTGCTCCACTGACCTCGGGTCTGGCTCCCAGCCTCCACCCTCACGTCGGGAGCACAGACCCCCCCACACACCCGTGCTGCTCCCCGGATCCCCCTCCCAGGACCTCCCCAGCGTGGACATTCACTCACCCAGCAATAAGGACTGTCCTTGGTCGTGGAGAGGACTGTGAAAACAAACCAATGCACTTACTAGGAGGCACAAGACTCTTGATGACAATGTAAAGTGAAACCTTTTTTTAAAAAGAGAAAAATAAAATGTAATTTTAAAGTAGGCCTGCCTGGGCTCTGGCTGTGTCTCAGGGATGGTGGTGGCTACTTTGGGGACTGATGGTTGTGGGGGCCGAGGGCGTGAGCACCCTGAGGAGTGAGTGGAGGAGTGTCTGAAGCGGGGTGATGTGACACCAATGAATGGCCTTTGTTGTGAACAGGAAGCCCAGCCACCCCGCTAGTGGACCGGTTCCTTCCTACAGCTTCAGCTCAAGCCTCTGCTGCCACCAAGGCCAGTGCAGGGACCTCAATCCTATGCCAGAAAGGGCTACCTGGCTAATGCCCTGTGTGGAGAACATGGTCCACTGAGGGCAGAGCTGGGACATAGGCCGCTTGGCTTTTTGGTAAGCAGTGTGACACCATGTGACAAAGGCAGTTTTGCAGTTAGGTGGACACGAGCCAGTCCACTTCATTGATCTGAAAGCCTGTTTTCATGTGGTCACACCGCAGCCAGGACAGTGTCCATGTGGGGTGTGGCTCTGTGCCCTGTCCTCAGAGAGTAGCAGAGGGGAGAGGTCAAAACAGTGCGATTCCTCTCTCCTTAGTGGGCCTTAAGGACATGACACTGGGGGACCCTGGAGTGGGTGTGGGGTTTGATGGCAGATGATGAGACCAAGCCTATTTGTATGAACTTGGCCCTCTCAGATCCGTTTTAACCTCATGTGGAGAATGGATTCTGTGAGGAATCCGCTCATGGCTGACGTGGTCTGAAAACACTATGTTTCTGAAGAGAGCAACATTGAACCCTCACAATAGCCTCACACCGGAAGTGCTAGCACACCCCCACTTTACAGATGAGAAAACTGAGAAAAACAGGGCCAAGAAGCGACCCAGGGCCACACATGGAGTGAGAGGCAGGGCCAGCCTGGAACCCGGGTTCTGGAGCCCAGGTCCTCAACTGCGTGCATGATCCCAGCCTGATACGTGCAGCAGTGAATACGCGTCTTGGTTATGACTGGACACTGTTATTAAGGAAGTCTGCTGGTGTAGTCTGTCGAGTGCTGCACAGCTAACCAGGAGGGCATGCATCTCCAGCAGTTCGAGTCTATCTCCAGCAGCTCTGTGGAGAAGGGTGGGCAGTCTCCTCATGTCCTTCCAGTCCTGGAAACCCTTTGGAGGGCTACCATGAGTTGGGATCCACTCAGTGACAGGCAGTTGAGCGAGTTCCTATTATTAAGAAGGCCCGTGCCTTTGGGCCCCTCCATCCTGAGGTTCCAGGGCAGGAAATGCCTTTCTCTCCCCCACAGGAAGTCTCTCTGCAGTCAGCCCTCTCCTCACCCACAATGAGCCCATTTCATTGGCCTTTGAAGAGAGACTGCCTAGTCACCTTCAGACCAGGGTGCATCCTCTTGGGTGGGCAGTGGCCCTTTGCGTTGTCTTGGAGGATAAGGAGCTTGCTCTCAGGCATGGAGTTTCTTCTGTGGGTTCTCCACAGTGCAGCTCACCAAAGCACTTGGTCCTGCCTTCTGATTCTGAGACACCAAAGCAGGAAATTGCATAATCTCCTCCTTTGGCCACCCTCCACCCAGATGGTTTATGGGTGGTGCTGTTCACAGCAGAGGTTTGGCTTTGGGTTGGAGAGATGTCTCCTCGGCTGTGCGCATGAGAGAGCGAACGTGTGTGTGTGTGTGTGTGTGTGTGTGTTGTGCTGGGAGGTTGGGAAGGGAGAACAGGAGTGCAACCCAACCCAACATCAGCAGAAAGCAGAGCTAGATTGTAGGGCAAAGTCAAAGGTGCTGTGGAGTAGGAATCTTTGCTGCCGTGTAACTGAGTGGGGACAGAGCTGGCCGCCGGCACTTGAGGGTGACGACTTTGGGAAGGGGGCTTGCAGGAGCAGGGTTCTGAGTGCAGTGGATTCCAAGTGGCATTTAGTAGCACAGTGGAAGCCCTCCAGACGCTCAAGCTCATAGCAGGTTAAATTTAGAAGTCCTAGACTGGGACGAGAGACACAGACACCAGCCTCAGCTGTTTCCTCCAGGAGCTGGGGTGGGAGAGCCAGGCTGGGCGAGGCTGACCCGTCGAGACATCTGGGAGAAGCAGCCTCCCAGTTGCCTCTTGGTGATCGCACAGTAACTTCTTCATGGAGCCCCACAGGTCCAAGGAGGAGGCTGCTGAAAGATGTGCCATTCTCGCAGGTTCCAAACATTTCTTAGAGTCCAATGCTATTCCTTTAACCTCTGGCTGTATCTGCCTCTCAGTCATCATCTGCCCAGGACTGTGTATCCTGGCTGGGCAGCCCCTCAGAAGAAACTACTACCCGCCTGCTGGGGGCTCCAGCCATTTGATTCAAACAAATAGTTTTAACCACAACAGGCCACCATCCATGCACATGAC